AGAGTCAGGAAGATACTACCCAGGCAGTGTTCAAGGTTGTCCCCAAAACTTTTTCAAGGTGCATACATTTACCTTTAGCAGGTATAGCCTGCAGCATATGCCATTTTCTGCTATTTGCTTCATGACAATTCAGATAACTACCCTTGTAATCAAAGTCAAAACAATAGTAAATTACAGTCCCATAAAGTCTTGAGTAGCAAGTTCCAATAATCAGAGCTTCAGGTGGGTTCAGCTTTCAAAGATCACATATCTTAGATAATAAATATTGACTATAATCTCACACTGGTAACTGTAAGAGATTCATCATAGAAAATGCTACTGCTTTCAGAGTCTTTAGTAGTTTGTATACATTTCTACACATGTTCAAATTCCAGATTAAATAACAAGTATATGTAAAATCAGATTTCCCATTAAGATAACACAAGGTAGTGCATAGGTTACTACTCTTCATTAACGTAATTGTCTATACTGAAATCCTACAATCCAGAAAACTCTTGCACAGAGTTGATAAGAACTTTAGGGGCCAGCTAGCTGGCACAGTGGATAGAGCACAAGCCCTGGAGTCAGAAGGACCTGACTTCAAATCCTGTCTCAGACCACACACTTGACATTTACCTGCTGTGTGACCCTAGGCAAGTCATTTAACCCCAATTGCCTCTCAAAAAAAAAAAAGGACTTTAGGTGAAACTTCCTCTTAAATATAGACAAAACTTGGAAGTTTATAATTTTCTTAAATTACAGTACTTTAGAATATTACAGCATATGGTCAGCAGGGCTGAGATAATGTCCTAACAACTTCCTAACCCATTCATTCTCCCCATTTTTAATAGTACAATCCTCAATCTAACATCTTCTAGATTATAAAAGGAATTGCTTTTCAACAACATAGCTGATACAACTGTTTACCAAATTACACAATACAAGAAAATTTAGAAATACAACAACACCCTAAACAATATTATGTATTTAAAACTTGAAATAAACCCATTATCAGTTTAGGTGAATGAACTTTGAAATTACCCTGAACAGAAAAAAATCATTCATTTTATAATTAATATGTTTGAAGCTTCTTTAAACACTTCATATACTTTCATAATAACCAAGATTTTCAAATGGAAATTTGCTATTATAGTATTGTTGTTGTTACCCATTTATAACTAAATATACCTCACAAAATATTTAATAGTTTTTGAATTATCTAATTTTTAGCACATTATTTTAAAAGCCCAATCCATAGGGAAGAAAATCCAGATTAAAAATTGCTTTGTCTAACATCACTTCTGTTTTACAATGGTCTCTCAAATTTTACAACATAAGTGAAATTAGAAATATAATACAATTTAGAAATACAATAATAACACAAACAATAAACTTCAGATGACATCAATTACATTTCCAAATTATCACATATAAAAATCATTGATCTTATTACCATTGGCATTTGAACACCACTTTAAAGTTATCAGGCATGGAACAATTACATTAAATTAGAGAAATAATACTAATGTAGTGCTTAGTACATGTCAGTCACTGTGTTGAGCACTTCACACTTCACAATCATTATATCATTTCAATCTCACAACAACAACCATTATTATTTTTCTCTTCACAAATCAGTAAACTGGGGCAGAGATAAAAAATAACTTGCTTAATCTGACCTGAGATGTGAGGGGTTAACAGGGAAACATAGACTGTTAGCAATTTGATACAAAGATACACTCTTGACTCCAGGTGAGGGAGTGGAGAAGGCAAACTGGTTTATCTAATTCTCTGAAGTCTCAGTTTTCCTCTGCAATTTTAAAATGATTAATTTCCAAACTCCTTAATGATTAATCTCCAAACCTCCAGAATCTGTAAGATGTTTTTTAGTGGTTAATAAATCTCTCCCAATGTTCTAACTACAAGCCTTAGAAGTTTTTCTGGGCACCTGCATTTTAAGTCTTTCAGGGTAACAGAATCTAGCTCACTGCACAACATGATATAGACACAGAAAAATACACAAATCTGATTTCAGAATGACCAGGGAAGGGGAAGTACGAAAAGCTCTGAGAGGCTTGTTAGAAACCCATCACCAAAAGGCTACCATTACTCCAAGGAAAGGGTTGGGTGGGGAATTTGCAAAGATCCAAGACTGACGGGAGGGTCCCCTAGCTGAGAGAGAGAGAGACAAAGGAAGCAGATTGGAAATGGACATTGCAAACCTTCTTCAGATTATGTCTAAGGTTACAGAAGAGGGCTTTGGTATCTCCAGTGTTCCTTATTCTGCATAACCTCAAGTCTGGTCCTACATAAAGATTTCAAATTCCCCAGCCTTTTGCAATAGTGACAATTAACCAGGTTTGAGGTGCCTCACAGGGCCATGGCTGGGGTGTGGATTAGGTGCATGGTATACTTTGTGGTAGAAACCAAGTGTAATGATGGGTTTAAAGGTCCCAATAGTGTTAAGTTCAGGGATTTGGTCTGTAGGCAGAGTAGAGCTATTCCTGTCAAGACTGGAGCCTTTAAGGTAAGGGGAGGTGGGAGAAGGCAATGAGTAGGGTGGAAGAACAACAGAGGGATAGGCTGGGATCACTGGACAGGAAGGGCGGGAAGAAATGGGGGTGGAATTAGAGCACTGGGGGAAAGGGTGCTGAAGCTGAAGTGGCTCACAAGCTTTGAGGAAAGAAGCTTCTGTTTTACATTCTTGCTCTGCCATTTCAGCAAACCAGTGGTGAAAACATTCCCACTCTAGTCTAGACATCTTGTTGACTTTTAAGCTTAATTTGTTTTTAAGATAAACCAATTTGGACCAGTCAAAAGGGCCCCAATGAAGCCAACACAATTCAGGGCTATCTTCAGTTAACTGCCACAAGTGCTGGCAGTATTTGTGGTCATCAGAATGGTTGAACATATAAAAAGCAGCAATTTTGTTAGCCACATCTCTAATTTTAGTTTCTGACTGACCCACAGCCCAATTTTTAGGGGATCCTTGCTTTCTGAGGAGATCTATGCAATGCAGAGTGATGTGATCCCCTACCCCCAGAGCTAGCTTAAAGAGAATTGGGAATTTTGACCAAACAGTGGGAGTTTCAATGGAAGCTGGGAATAAAGACTTACTCACTCCTGCCAAAGTTAAAACTCCAAGAAAATAGATCCTAAGGCACCTATATCACTAGCATTGTCTTACTACTCTACCAGTTCCATCCATGTCACGGCACCAAACTGTCAACCTTAAATTAAGATTTGGTCTAAAAAGATGCAAACAAAATTAGGTCATATATGTGCTATTTATTCTCTGAAGTTAGGAGAAATATACATGTATGAGATTCTCAATGAAACTGAGAATCAAAGAAAGATTACTTGAAGATGATATATCCATAGAGTAAGGAAATACTTCCCCCCTCCCTTATGATTCAGGATGCCTGTGTCAACCAAAATTATAGTTTCATAGAACAAGAGATTGCCCCCAGGATGCCCCAGGTTCCTGTCAGTCATAAACAAAGAGATGTCATAACAGTATAGTGTCCACAAAACTAGATAAGAGAAATGTCATTAATCTAGATAATGTCCAGTTCAAGGCAGCTGGTCCTTATTAGTCATACACAGAAGAATGCTCCCAGTCCCACAGTTGTCATTCAGGTAAGTTATATGACTTCCTAGATCCTCACTGTTATTCTCATTGTGTCAAAATTTTTAAAGCCAGATTTGATTTTGTTGGCTCAAAAATGGTTCTTCTCTTTCATTGAATATTCTCCAAAGGAAAACCCTTTCTACCAATTGAGGGAAAGAGAAAAGTCTTCACAGAGCCAAAAGGATAGAAACTGCACAGTCAAGGTAAATGCAATATATTGAATGCAATGAAACAAAACAAGTCTTGACAAAATACATTCTTTCACATTCAATGCTTCACCTTCTTATAAGAGATTTCTTCTTATTGTAGTAGTTGGTACACAATAACATCACTATGCAAGAGTCAAGTTTCAGTGCATTGACTGTGGCTGATCAGACCAATAAGAGCTCAAAATGCTCCACCACAGGTTGGACACAAATAGTCCACATGAACATTTGGGGTAGATTCTCTAAATTTGCGCATCCTGTGTTTCCTTTGAGCTGTTTCAATTCTGCTTCGCTCATAGAGCACAGCACCTTCTCTGATGTGGCACACCATGCTGAGTAGTCCTGTGCCAGTGTCTCTCATGTCACACAATCAATTCCAAAGTTCTTAAGAGAGACCTCGAGAGTGTCCTTGTATTGCTCCTTCTGACCATGTGAATGCTTGTCTTGTGTGAATTCTTCATGAAAGTCTTTTTGGCAAGTGTATATTTTGCATTCAAACAACGTGGCCAGCCCAATGGAATTGCACTCTCTGAACCAAAGTTTGAATGCTTGGCAGTTTAGTTCAAGAAAGGACCTCAGTTTCTGGTATCTTATCCTGCCAGGTGATCTTCAGAATCTTCCTAAGACAATTCAAATGGAAGCAATTCAGTTTCCTGGCATGGCACTGATATACTGTCCAGTTTTCACAGATATACAACAGTGAGGTCAGCACAGCAGCTCTGTAGACCTTCAGTATGGTTGTCAGTCTAATATCTCTTCTCCTCAATACTTTCCTTCAGAGCCTCCCAAACACCGAGCTAGCCCTGGAGGAACAGTCAATATGGTGTTTGCTGCCTGGCAACTCTAAGAGAAACACCAGGAGCAGAACAGAGGTCTGGAGACAACATTTACAGATCTGACCAAGTAGATCTGATACTGTCATCATGAGGGCTTATGGAAAATTATGTCAAAATTTGATTGCCTGGAGTTCATCAGCAATGTATGTCAATTTCATGACAGCATGCTTGCCTGGGTTCTGGTTAATGGACAATGCTTTCATGCTTTCCCAGTCACCAATGGAGTGAAACAAGGCTGTGTGTTTGCTCCCATGCTTTTTAGCATGATGTTTTCAGCCATGTTGTCAAATGGTTTCAATGAGGATGAATACAACATCAAGGTCAGCTACTGCACTAATGGTAAATTCTTCAACTTCAAAAGGCTACAAGCCAAGACCAAAGTGAAGAGAGTGTTGCTACATGATTTTCTGTTTGCAGATGATTATGCATTCAGTGCAACCTCTGAAGCTGAGCTGCAACAAAGTACGGATCAATTCTCTGCTGTTTGTGCTAATTTTGGCCTAAAAGTTAACACCAAGAAAAGACAGGTGAAAACAAGAAAATATCAGCCACCACCCCACCATCCATACATAGAACCACCAGTTACAGAAAATGGAGAAGTTTTGAATGCTATAAATAAGTTCACTTACTTTGGTAGTGTACGTTCCAAGGATGTACACATTGATAGTGAGGTTGTGAAAGAATATTCCAAGGCAAAGATGAGATTGCTTTATTTCAGTATATTAAATAGGGAACTTCTTCAAAGCTTTCCAAAACTGTTTTGAAAGCCTGCCTTCAAAATTTATAGACCCATAGGGTTCAATGTTGCCTCGGTCTCCTAACAGTAGTTTGAAACATCAAGCTATTTTTCCTCAATCCAATGAAAATGCAACCTTGAATTCAATCTCTTTTACCTTATTCTGCCTGGAATATGATTATCCATTTAAAGAATGAGTTTTTCCTTAAAAGCCTTTCTATTTGCTTCTGTCCATTTGGGGAAAGAACTTTGAATGTTCAAGTTTGGATCTCTTGGCTTTCTCTGTAATGACCACAGTCAACGGAAGAGAGCTGAATCTTAAGCAATCAGTACTGAACCACAGGGATTGGAGCAAACTATTTTGAAAGCCTTCCTTTTGATATCCAGTGTCAGACTCATATGGCTTCATTTTGCCCTAGCCTCAATGTGAATGAATGGAAATTGTGTATCTTGTTTTACTCTAAAGCCAGGCAAAAGCTTTTCAAGCAGAGAATGTTTCCATAAAAGTGAACACAAGTTTGGGGAACACATATAGCAATGGGGTAACCCACAGCTCCTGGTTGTTGGAAGTCTTTTTCTCCCCTTTGTATGGAAACTCATGACATTTCCCTTAAGCATGTTGCATTTTTTTTCTTCTGTGCTTATTTGATAGCCTTGAATGTCTCTTACCTCATAGCATCTAGTATTCTGATACTATGTATATCTGAGTATATCTGAATATCTGTATATCTAAGCAGATGCTGCTGCCAATCACTGTGGCCCCAAGGATAATGCTAGAAGTCTGATGAGAAGATAGGAAGTCCAAAATCCTATGGATCTCTGAAGACAGAAGGTCTTCCTTCAGTTAAGGGAAAAGGGAAATGAGGCTGAGGTGCTCTCTCCTCTTGACACTGCCTCCATCCCTAACCTGATCCTTCTCAAGGGTTTAGCTGGAACACTCTCCTGGCTCTCCATTCACTCAAATACCTGATTCCAACTAGGTTGGTGGTTTTATATAGACCCAAGAAGGATTGGCCAAGTCCCTCAGCTGATAGGAATAGATTTCCTATTGAAATTAGGGAGGTATCCACACCTTGTTCACTCCTAGTAAATAATCAATGTGTTCTCATCTAATAAATATGAAGTGTCGAAAAAGTCTTCAATGCAGCTTTAAGCTTTAGTAGCTTAAAGCTGCATTGAAGACTTTTGGGACATCCTGTGTATTAGGGTTAAATGCAGTAAGGTAATATCAACAATTTTATGTAATCAAAATTGTCTGTTTTATCATTTATCTTTACTTCTGTTTCATTTATTTTGTTTTGTTTTTAAAAAAAAATTCCCTTTGAGATGCCCATCAATTGGAAAATGGCTGATCAAGTTATAGTATAAGAATGTAACAGAATACTATTATGCTATAAGGAATTATAAAAGGGATGGTTTTAGAAAAACCTGGGAAGGGTTGGATGAATTGAAACAAAATGATGAGCAAAAGCAGTAGAGTAATTTAACAGCAATACTGTAGAGATAATTAACTTTGAAAGATTTAGGAACTTTGATGAACACACTGACTAACCACAATTTCAGAGGATTCATGATGAAACATACCATCTACATCCAGATAGAGAATTGATGGAAGTACAGATTGAAGCACGTTTTCCTCTTCTTTTTTTTTTTTGGTGGGAGGAGACATAGCAAATGTGGAAATGACTGGGTATGGGCCCAAGCCAAGACCTTTGACCCTTACCCCAAAAAGAATTTGGGTCCCATTTGTCTACAAGCCCTAGAAAACCCCACCTTGGACTCTCCTTGAACTCCTACTTGGCCAAGGAAGTCTCTAGCTCTAGTTTACCTGAGGCTATAATCCCATCAGCTGGCCTTTCCTTATCACCTACACCCAATCTATCAATTTCTCTTTTACCCTTGACCTAGGTCTGTTACTTCCCAATGGCCCTCCGCTACTTTCCACCCTTGATCCTATGTAGACCCTATTCTTGACCTGCAGATGTCTCCCATCAAGATATCCCTCCCCTCAGACCCCTTCTCCAGTCACCCCAAACTACTTGGCCACTCTTAGATCCCTCCCACAGTCTTTCTGTATATAAGGTCCATCTTGTCTCCTTTAAGGTGCTCAGATTTTTAAAATATGGCTCGTTTGCATTAGTGATACAAATGCTTAGATTCCTTAAGAGACTGGCCAATATGGTGAATCTTTAATAAACCTTGTCTTTGGCTGAAAGAAAGCTTAGGTCAAATTCATTTGGGCAAGACTTGCATCGCTATGTCAGGGTGCCATTTACCCCTAAACCTCAACATATAGTTCCCTGAACCTCAATCTAAACACACATAAGTGCCTGTGAATAATAAACGCCTGACCCATTTTCCTTTCATTTTGTTCCCTCCTGATATCTCCTACCAGGCTTAAAGAGTTTGTTCTAATAAAGTCAAACAAGTTAGGTCATATATACATGTTTATTTCTCTCAAAGTGGACATGCACACATTCATGCACGGGAGTTCATTTGGAAATGAGCTCATTTTGGAGTTAGGCTGCACAGATTATATACCCATCGCTCCTCCCTTTCCCCTGACTCAGGATGCCTCTGTACTTTGTCAGCCAAAATTAAAGTTTCCATAGAACAAGAGAGTGCCCCCAGAATGTCTGGTTTCTGTCATTCATAAACAAGAGAATGTCATAACAAGAAGAGAGTGTCATAACAGGATAGTGTCCATAAAACAATGAGATAAGAGAAATGCCATTAATCAAGATTGTCTAGTTCAAGGCACCTGGTCCTCATTAGTCATAAATGCTCCTAGTCAGCTTAGTTTTGGGGTTCACTCATAGACCATTTAGAAGGGGCTCAAGGGGGTCCCACATTCCTTATCTTCCCCTCCCCCTTACACTTACATCTAAAATTACTAAGGGTATTGAATATGTGCCAATATTGAGTTACCTCAAAGGTCAATCATACTGGAGGAAAAAACTGCCCAGAGTCAGGCTCATCTGCACTAGTTGATTAGCATTCAAAAAAGATTGTCCCAACAGTGGGCTTATGTGCCCTGCCCAATTAGTGTTCTTAAATCTTCAAAGACACTTCAAGTAAAGGAAGTCTTATTCATTAGGACATCAAAAATAGAACTTTTTCTCTATTTAAGAAAGAGCAACCTGATTTCAAACGGCATTGTTGTTGAAGATTTCTTGTGCTGTCCTCACATGAATACTAGTCCTTGCACTAGATGGAAAAGGCTAGCATAGGAACAGATCTTTACAAAACTAGAAAAGTGTGCCCCTTACCTGGTAGCACCCACCATGGGAGGTTAGCAGCATTTGAATTCTCTTCACTTGCTTTTCATCCACAATTCAGCTGTCATTCAAATCCTTCAATAAATTCTATTGAAACATGTGCAGGGGCATGCTGGAACCAGCTTGTACCAGTCTGGAAGGACTGATTGTTAAATTTTCAGTGTGAGCATTTATACCTTAGAAATCTGTAGGTGCTACAAATCAGTGCATCAGTTTGTTGATTTGTTTGATTTATTGTTTTGTTGACTTAACTGACAACTTAAGAAAATGATGGAGAAAAAACATTAATAATGTAGATTATTTCAAAAGTATATCTTCCACTCATTTTTGAAAGCCAGTTATTTAGCATTTGCCAGCACACCCCCTGAACATATATGAGTGCTATGTTGGCTTAAATATTAAATATTAAATACCACTTAAATATTCATTTAGAATAAATTTGCTGGTATATGTTGAGGAATGGCTCGAAGAGCCTGATCACATCTCCAGCTCTTGGAATTATCCCCACAAACCTAGAATAGAAGCAGATTAATGATACTGTTTGATTAATTTCTGCTTTACACATTTCCTGAAGTTCTACATTGCTATAAGAGCAGGTTTTTGGGATTCCTCCTGTATCTAATTCCAGACCTGAGTTCAGGACCTAGGGCTTATGGCTAGTCTTATTGAGGACATCCACTTTACAAATAGGAGGAATAGCCTATAACTAGCAGAGATACTTCTACACTTGTAACTAGAAATCTTTCACTGGTAGTAATTTCCTTATCTCATAATTCAAACTTCAACATAAGTTGCTCTGGTCCATCATGCTAATCGATGTGGTGTCAAAGGCTTCCCCACCAGGTAAAGGTATATGCCCCTCTGAAGATAACCATAATTATCCACAGTGGTTCTAATCTGGCCGCACCCTGTCCCAACAGGCCAGGTTCATGCATCTACTGACATTGTGTTGACAGCTGAAGTAAAGGGCTACTCACTCCCTAAGTCCCCTTGCATATTCTAAAGTCTGTCCTGCTTTTTCTATAAGTGACTTTATCTTATTTAGTGACTACTTATCAGAAGTAGAGGAGGGAGCTATTAAGTTAATTTCCAAGTATCCTGTTTTCCAGATATCTCTGGGGAATTCAGTTTTTAGGTAACTGGCACAAAATAGCAGTTTTATTGTCTTGATATTACTTTTTCACTTAGTTATATTCCCTTCCCAAAGAGCAGATAACACAATTATTCCTTTGTCCCTGTCCATTGGTAAACGCAAAATAAATAATCTTTGAATTATATCAATGATTGTGGCCCAATTCTCCAATAACTGGGCAGCCATGGTGGCTATTTACCTTAATGGAGTTATACATTTTTTCCTAGGCTTAAACCTGCTAGGTTGTCCACAGGGTCAGGATTAGAGTACTACTAGATGCAGAACCATTTATGTTCTCAAGGAGTTTACAATCTAATATGTTGGAGATGGAGGGGTTGTACAAGAGAATAATATTTATACTACTTATATATTAGGGTTGTTGGGAAGAACATGCTTTGCAAAACTTAGTGTTTTATAAATATGAGTTTCTTATATTTCTCTGGGAGGACTTTAAGTCAGGAAACCTGGGTTCTAATCTTGATTCCGATCTTCATATATTATGCTCTCCTTACACTCATCTGATCTTTGGAGTAAGACATTCCTCTGGTCTTTTGTGCCTTCTATCTCCTGCCATAACTGTACCTTGAACAAAGGCTGCTAGGGGACAGCTCAGCTCCCATTCTTCATCTGGTGCCAACTTGATTTCCCCTTGCCTAAGATTTCCACCTCCTGCTTCACCTTTCACACCTCCAGCCTTGGATATGAAAAGTAGCAGCATTCCCTTTGACAGGCCTTCTATCACCTGCTGCATCATCTCCTGCCTAGCCTTTGGAGCCAAAGAAAAGTAGTAAAATGGGACCTCTATCTCACCATCTATGTGCCTTCCATCTTTTCCTGCTCTTGTCTCCGGCCCGATATCTAGCATCCTTTGGGAACAGGAATGGTGCCTTCCATTCAATGATGAACATTCTCACACCTGATCATACCCTATACATCCTAGTGATTCTGAATTCCTGAAGATCATCATTCACACACAATTTCCCATCCCCCACAACTCATTCCTTTATTCTCATCCCCCTCAATCCTCTTACCCCAAAGTCCCAATCAAACCATCCACTCCTTTCACTATGCCCTCCGGAATGCCTGATCCATTCACAACAAATTTCCCTTCATCCTAAATCTTTTCCTTTCCCATTATTTCCATTTTCTAGCAATCAATGAAACCTGATTCTGCCCTGATGACACAGACTCCTGGCTACCCTTTCCAGTATTGGTTGCACCTTCATTCATTCCCCTCAACTCACTAATTGAGGCAGGGGAGTTGGAATACTCCTTGCTCCTCATTGCCAGTTTCTTCCCCTTACTCCATCAGTCAATAACCTCTCTTCATTTGAGGTTCATGCAATTCATATCTACCACCCAATCAAAATCCTGGTAGCCACTATCTACAGATCTCCAGCATGCTCCCCTCCCTTCTTCAACAAGTTCAGCACATGGCTCACAATTTTTCTCTCTTCCCCAACTACTGTCCTCATAGTAGGGAATTTCAACATGTATACTGACTCTCTCAAACACCCCTGAACACTCATTTTCTCAACCTATTCAACTTCCTATGACCCACTCCTCCACCCCACTCAGCTACTTACAAAGATGGATATACCCATGATCTTGCCATCACCCACAAATGCACCAGATCCATGTTCAAGAATTCTGAAATGTCCTTATCTGACCATAATCTATTGGCTTTCCACCTCTCCCTCTGTTTTCTCTTTTCAAACCCTAATCTTCATACACTATGACCTCCAATCCCTGGACCCCTCAGTTCTGTCATAGGCCATCTCCCCAGCATTAGGCATTCCTCTTTTCCCCATTTTGACCCCTTGGTGAACCAGTTTAACTCTTACACTATCCTCTTCTCTTGACTCCCTGGCTCCATTATCATATATCCGATTATTCCTGCCAAATCTCAGCATGGATCACCCCCACCACCTTCCTTCCTACACATTTTCTGACTGGCTCCACTATAAATTTATGTTACCTAACCTCAAGTGGGTTCTCACTGCTGATCAGCAACACCTCCCTTATCAACTGGATATCTCACTCTTAACAGTGGCTTTTCTGAATCTTTTCAATCCTCCTCAAACCTTCCATGCCTCTCCCTCCCTATGCCCTCTCAGCTAAGAACCTTGCCTCATATTTTACAAAAAAAAAAGAGGCCATTTACCATAATCTTCCTCTTCTCCCATCTTCCTCATCTCATATCACTCTGATGCCTTCTGCCATTATCTTTTTGTTCACCCCTGTCTCACACAAAGATGTCAGGCAAACTCCTCTACCTGCACAAGTGATTCTATTCCATCCCATTTTCTCCAACAGATTGCCACCTCTATCATCCCAATCCTATCACTTAGCTTCAATCTCTCTGAAACTGCTCTCTCCAGAGTTACGAATGATCTCTTAATTGCCAAATCCAATGGCCTGTTCTCAATAATCATTCTTCTTGATTTCTCTGCAGCCTTTGACATTGTTATCCCCCTCTTCTCCTTGATACTCTCTCTTCTCACTGGTTTGTTTTTTTTTAGAACAGTACTCTCTCCTAGTTTTCTACCTGTCAGATCACTCCTCAGGCTCCTTTGCTAGATCCTTATCCAGGATGAGAATCTTAACCTGCTAACTGTAAGCGTCACATAGGGCTTTATCCTGGACCCTCTTTTCTACTCTATATTTCTTTATTTAGTGACCTCATCAGCTCCCATGCATTTAATTATCATTTCTATGCAGATAATTCTCAGATCTACCTATCTTGCCCCAACCTCTCTGTTGATGAAAGTTAATATTGTACTGTATTATTTAATAACCAATATTTCTCTGTGATCCATCTTTTTCCTCATTTTGATAGACACCATTTCTGAAAGACAGGCAGTTTCTGAAGGGTGTGATTGTGAATGAGCAAGATGATCACTCCCAGCCCCAAAGCATCTACTTAGTAACCAGGTTAGGAAGAGCACCTTGCTTCTGTTTGCCCCAAAAGCACAGAAGCTAGATTGAGTTAAGCCCTCCCCAGAGGATGACTCTCATTTCCTTGTTTTTCCTAACCAAAGATAGGGATGATCTGACCAAACCAGAGAAACCTGACTGAGATGGCTTATGTTTTTGTAGCCAAGAGTACTAGAGGCAGCTGGATCTCATAAAACAACTAGCATTCTTTAAGTGTCAGAGAGGAGGTAACCAGCCACATCTGAAAGCCAACCCACTTTCTCTAGCTTCACATTAATCCTTTCACCTGAGGATTAGTCCTCCTGTGGCAGAGAGGAGGGAATGAACTAATAGGAAGAAGCTGAGAACTATTAACCACCTCTTCATTAAAATGTCCACCAATTGAGATTGCCTTGCCATCCTCAGAGGCAGTCCAAATGATAGAATGTAAGGCCAATTAGAAGGAAGATATATATAGTTTTAAAAAGCCCTGTCATCCTCAGTCTGGCTCTTTTGGTACAATTAGAAGCAGAACATAAGAGCCCTTTATTAATAGGTTCTGTACCCTATTAACAAATGATATCTTGCTCAGAGAACTGCCTCAGTTGCTGACTTCCAATCTTTCATCTCCAACTGCAATTCAGATATCTCCAAATGTATGTCCAGTAGACATTTTAAATTCAACATGTCCCAAACTGAACTCATTATCTTTCCCTCTAAACACTCCCTCCCCTCCTAACTTCCCTATTACTATCGAGAGCAATATCATCTTCCCAGTCTCCTCAGTCTACTCACTATCTTTCATGCCCCAGCTCCCACACCCCATCTGTTGTCAAGGCCTATTGATGTCAACTTTGTAACCTCCCTTGAGTACATATCCTCTTCTCTTCTCTGACACTGCCACTCCTCATTACCTCATATCTGGACTATTCCAATAGCCAGCTGGTGGGTCTGCCTGCCTCAAGTCTCTCCCCATTCCAATCCAACCCCCTGGCAACCATCAAAGTTATTTTCCTAAAGATTATATCTCACCATATAAAACATTCCCTGAACTCCCTCACTCAATAAACTCCAATGGCTCCTTATCACCAGGATCAAATGTAAAATCCCGTTTGGTATTCAAAGCCCTTCATAAGCTACCATCCCTCTCCCCAAAATTTCCAGTTCTCTCAAACCTTATCCTCTGCCATGTACTCTATGATCTAGTGACACTGGCTTCGCTGCTGATCCAAAAACAAGACACTCCATCTTTTGGCTTGAGGCATTTTCTCTGGCTGTCTCCCAGGCCTGGAATGCTCTCCTTCCTCATCTCTACCTACTGGCTTCCCTGGTTTCCTTCAAGTCCAATAAAATCCTATCTTCTAGAGGAAGTCTTTCCTAAAGCCTCTTAATTCTAGTGGTTTCCTTCAATTATTTACTTCCTTGTTGTTGAGGAATGGTTTGCCATTTCCTTCTCCAGCTCATTTTACAGATGAGGAAACTGAGCTAAATATGGTTAAATTACTTGCCCCGGGTCACACAGCTAGTCAGTGTCTGAAGCCTGATTTGAACTCAAATCTTCCTGACTCTAAACTGGGCACACCATCCACTGTACCACTTAGCTGCCCTCATTTACTTCTTACTTATCCCTGTGGGTGCTCTGCCCAAAGGAATATAAGTTTTGATAGCTAAAACCTTGCAAGATATCTTGGAGTTTACAGGTTAGATTTTGTTTTCTCTTCCTTACTTATTTATTTTATCTTTTTTTAAAAAACTGGGACAACTAATTCTTTTGCCCCATGTAGCTTCATTTACAATTTCTTGAAATGTAGCACTGGGGGGAAAAAACAGGCTTTGATAAAACCCATTGGGATTCAAATTAAGCTATTTGATCATGCCTTAAATCCAAATCACTCGGGCTCTCACCGACTGGCCAACAATAAATAATAGCTCAAGCCTCACTTTGGGCATTGTTTGGGTTTTTGTGGCTCAGAATAAGTGTATATAGCAATTGTTTTTGCTCTGGACCAAAACACAAAGGGTCTTCCCTCACAAATTGATTTTTTTTTTGAGTAGATAAAAGAGGTCTTTTTTTTTTCCCTCATTTCTTAACTAGCCTTTAACACTGATTGGGTGTTGCCTCAGACAAACTGAGACGTGGGAAAGACCTCATCTTAAAAATCTCCCACTGCATCTGGGGCCATCTCCAGTCATCTGGACGTATATCTTGCCACTGCATCCAGGTGGCTCTGGAAGAGAGTGAGGCTGGTGACTTTGCATTGACTGACTGCATGTGCAATTTTGATAAAGCAGTTAATCTGAGACTCAGATTCCTCATTTGTAAAATGGGAATAATGCCTATCTGCAGGATTGTAATGAGGTTGATTGCAGCCATATTTCTTGCCTCTAAACTCTGCCCCTCAGGAGGTCTGTGCAAGGTGTGGAGCAAGAGGGGGCAGATTTTTTGTTTTTTCTGCCTTCTCCAATCTGTTCCTCACAGCCACTCAACCCCCACCCCCCAACACTGGTCATGGCTCTAAGCAGATCAGAATAACTAGTCCTTTAACTTCGTACAAGTTATTAACCTCTCTGGCTCTCACTTTCCTTAACTTTAAAATGGGCACAATCTTCAAAATGCCAGTGAACGTGGGTGAACAAGTGTTTATAATGTGCTTACTATGGGCCAGGCACTGAGCTATCAATGAAATGAGACCCTTGTCACAGGGCCCTTGGCAAACGTTACAACAGTATGTAAAATCGACCTGATTCTTTCAAAATTAATTAATTTTCCCCCCTGGCAGCTAGGTGGCCCAGTGGATAGAGTGCCCGACCTGGAATCAGGAAGACTCATCTTCTAGGGTTCAAATCTGGCCTCTGACACTAGCTGTGTGACCCTGGGCAAGTCATTTCACCCTGTTTGCCTCAGTTTCTTTACCTGTAAAAAGAGCTGGAGAAGTAAATGGCAAACCACTCCGTTATCTTTGCCAAGAAAACCCCAAATGGGGTCACAAAGAATTGGATGTGGCTGAAAGAACTGAACAGTGAGAGGAAAAAAAGGGATAAATCATTCCTCCAGCCAACAGGGGCGCTCAACTGCTGCTATGTTGGGGCTCCCAACTGCGCAGCCGCTCTGCCCCAAGGACCCTCAGAATGGAGGAAGTCGCGTACCACTGGCCCCTACTCGCCCCCCCTTCCGAGGCCCAGTCCCCAGGATCAGAACCTCTCTTCTCTTCCATAAGTCCCAGTCCTTCGCCCTCTCTTCCCTCGGCCTTTTCTTTCTGGCCCCGCCCCATCCGCTACTTTTTCTCTTCCCATCCAACCTCATTCTCTCTGTTCCATCCCTTCCCCCTGAGCACACACCTCCCATTACGTAATTTTCCCCTAGCTCCTCACTTCGAATCCTCGATGCCAGGCTCCATCTCCCTTCTTCCCAGCCCTACGAGTTGTGTTTTACGACACTGTCGTCTAACGGCGGGTCTTTACGGCAGCGGCCGTAGCAGCGGGAGCGGGAGCTTGGACGTCCGTCAGTGGTGGTGGCGGTGCTGGGCGGAAGCGGCGGGGCGACGGATCCAGGCGTTTAGGCTAGGCCGGGGCCAAGGCCGGGGCCGGGGCCGGGGCCAGGACGCGGGGCAGGAGGCGGCGGCGGCGGGGGGGTTGATGCCCGGTGGCGGGGGGAGCCCGGCGCCCTGCAGTCTCCTGGCCGCCTCGGAGCCGCGGGGCGGCGAGGAGGCAGCGGCGGCGGGGCCCGGGTCCGGCGGCCCCGGGGGCTCCTCTTGCGGCGGGGTCGGGGGCCCCGGGCCCGGCGGTGGCGGAGGCCCTGGGGGCAGGATGAGTCTATCCCCGAAGGAACTCTCCAGCCTGCTGGGGATCATCTCGGAGGAGGCCGGGGGCGGCAGCACCTTCGAGGGCCTGTCCAGCGCCTTCCATCACTACTTCAGCAAGGCGGACCACTTCCGCCTGGGCTCGGTGCTCGTGATGCTGCTCCAGCAGCCGGACCTGCTGCCCAGCGCGGCGCAGCGCCTCACCGCCCTCTACCTGCTCTGGGAGATGTACCGCACCGAGCCTCTCGCCGCCAACCCCTTCGCAGCCAGCTTCGCCCATCTGCTCAACCCGGCGTCCCCGGGGCGGGGCGGCCAGGAGCCCGACCGGCCCCCGCTCTCAGGTACGGAGCTGCCCCTGCCCCACCGGCGCGGAGCCCCCCGGAAGGGAGTAGGGGGCGAGATCAGGGGTGCCAGCATCTTGGTTTTAGCCCTTCCCTGGGTGACTGAACCGGGCACTTCACCTCCGCTGGGCCTGGCGCGCAGCTTACAGTGGGGGGCGGGGTTGTGCTACATCAGGGGCTCTTAACCTTGTGTGTCTTGAATCTTTTGCCAGACTTGTGAAGTCTGTGGACCCCTTCTCAGAAGGATGCTTTTAAATACACAGAATAAAATATATAGGGTTATAAAGGAAACCAATTATATTGAAATAAAATTATCAGAAGTTCACAGACTCCAGTTTGAGAACCTCTGGGCTAGATCTCTTTTAGCTCTGACCTCAAACGAGTACAGTGTTGCAAATACAGCTCTTTACTCCATAAAAATCCCTTATTTCTCTTCATCTGGATGGGGCACTACTTTTCTGTTTGTAAGAGAGGATATGATTTAGAGGCTACACATTTGGCCAACCAAAAATTTGGTGGCGGTCTGCCCCACTACAGTTTCTAGCCTCTTAGGATCTTGCATTAAGACTCTGATGAGCTACTTCTTTTGGAGGAATTTCTTCCCCTTTCTCCCCTCTCCCATAAGGATCAGGCTAAAAATTCCCTATTCTTTGGAGAGACATCTCAAGTTCTTCTTGGAGGTGAATGAGTGGAGGATTGACTTCCAGTTTAATAAAGCATATGATGAATATGACCATTATCTGGCATTTCCCACATCTTCTAAGCATATCAAGAGAGCACAGTAAAACTGGAGTGGGAATATAGATTAAAAAGTAAAAGCACTAAAATCAATCAACAGTCTCCTTAAAGACATTGAGAAACCTGTCTTTTTTTTTCCCCTCCCATATCTTCCCCTAAAGGCAATAAAGGCAGCTCTTGTTCCACACTCATGTTTGAGTGTCTCTTATTTTTGGAAAATGATTCTTCTGTTTAATTTACCTTTGAATATTAACCTTATTATGTTCCCAAATTTTGAATTTCATTAAAGTGGGAGTTGAGAGTTAATTGGAAGACAGTGGTCATAGGAATTTATGAAAAACAGACAAGAACTCAAAGCTAGTTTTTCTTTCCAGGGCTGGAATAGACTTAAGACTTTTGAAGGAAAAAAAATAAGGACTTTTTATATTTATTTAGATCTCAGGAATCCATGTATTATTTTTAAATTAATTTTATTGGTAGGTGGAATGGGGTGAGGGAAGGGATTAAATTTTTTTAAATAATATTTTCCCCCAATTATGTGAAAAACAAGTTTTGAGTTCCACATTTTATCTTTCTCTGCCCTCCTCTGAGACAATAAGCAGTCTGATATAGGTTATACATGTGCAGTCATATAAAACATGAAGGGATGAAATGTTGAAGTAGCTGCGTAGGTGGGAAGAGCAAAAGTGTCCCCTCTTTACTGCCTTTAATTATTCCTTGAGTCATCACTGTCTTAAAGCATCTTTCTCTAGTATGATGTTTTGAATTAATTTCTCAGTCTTACCTTTGCCATTTTGATCACCATTTTTCTCTTATTTCTCAGTCTTCTTTGTTGTCATCATCCATGTTGTTCTCCTCTTGTTGTAGGTACATCCCAAGCCTCTTCCTTGGGCCCTCTTTTCTTCTGTCTCTACACCTGGTGTTAAGAGACCCCATCGGATCAAGCATATCTCTTTTCAGATGATTTTCAGATTTCTATATCCAGCCCTAGTCTCCTGATTCTTTGATTCTGCTGAACTCCAGTCTGGTATTACCAACTACCTGTAATAGTAGTTTTTACATAGCCCTTTAAGGTTTATAAAGTGTTTCGCATATCTTACTTCATTTGATCTTCACAACAGCCCTGTAAAATAGGGACTGTTATTATCCCTATTTTACAGATGGGGAAACAGCCTGGAAGAGATTAAGTGACTTGTACAGGGCTGGTCACACAGGTAGTAAGTGTCTAAGGTAGAATTCAAATTTTCTGGACGTCAGTATTCAATCCACCGTGTCAACCTAGTAGCTGTTATTGGAAGCACAGTCTCTGACTTCATGTCCCTTAGGTATCTTAAACATAGGATATCCAAATGGGACTTCATTATCTTCTGAACTTTCTCCATCCATGTCATATTTCTCTTTCGAGGACCACCATCCTTCCTAGTTTCAAAATGTTAAAGTCATTCTATACTTGATATTCTCTCACATTTCCAGTCAGTTGCCAGATCTTGTCAGTCCTTCTTCCACAACGTAATTCACATCTTTCCCCTTTTTTCTCCTTTAATGTATATCTGATTCAAGGCCTCATCACCACTTGCTCATATTATTTCAACCTCCTCTTAAAATATTGGTCTCTCTCTTCTCCAGTCCATCACCTCCATCACCTCTACCCCTACTCCCGAACAAAATAATCTTCGTAAAGTACAAGTTTTGCCATTTTAGACTCCCTACTCAAAATCTGTCAGTGCTTTATTATTGCTCTTAGATAAGGTACAGATGCTTAGCATTTTAAAACTTTCCCCAAAATGTCCTACCTTTCCCTTTTATTTCATAACACTCTCCTTTACATGTGCCAGCCAAACTGATATTTGCTGTTTCTTGACTTAGCATTCCTTACCCTGTTTCTGTTTTCTGTCTATTTACTTATTTTACAATGTTCCCTGTGCCTGTGATATAACTCTATCATCATTTCCACCTCTCTAGCTTCCTTTCATCCCTAGTTTCCTTCAGGGCTCAGATCATAAGCTGCCTCCTACAGGAATACAAATTTTTCCTTTTCGAGTTTTATATACTTGGCTGGTTACATTTTGTGTCCCAGTAGTAGAATCTAAGTTCCTTTGGGCAGGGACTGTTTTTCATTTTGTCTTTAGGACTCCTAGCACCTAGCCCCATGTTTTGCATGTGGTAGCCACTTCATATCTGCTTGTTGGAGTGGATTGGTTTGGCTTACTGACTGTTCTAATTGAAGGTGTTCTAACTTAAGATTCATCATCAAGAAAAATATGTGCCTCAAGAAACACTGCTTTATAGTTTTAGGATTTGTCAGTAAGCATTTATTAAGTACGTATTTATTAATTACCTATTAGTAAGCATTTATTAACTATCACAGGCACTGATCTTGGCACTGAGGATCCAAAGATAAATTGAAACAGTACCTCCTTTCAAGGAGCTTGTATTCTGTTTGGGGAATTAACAAGTGCAAATACAATTAAATACAAAACTTACACAAAGTAATTTCCAGGAAGGTAAGCACTAGCAGTCAAAAGGATCAAGAAGGGCTTCTTGTAGGAAGAAGTGGCACTTCAGTTGAACTTAGGAGACTGGAAATTCTAAGAGAAGAGTGAAGTGAAGAGGGTGTGGATTCCAGGCCTATTGACGGCAGTCTGGTGCAAAGGCCAGAAGAGAAAAGGTAGAATACCCAGTATCAGCAAGGAGGTCAGTATAGCTGGAACATAGTACATGAAAAGGAGTAATGTATAATATCTGGAAAGTTAGCTTCTGACGGACTTTAGTGCCAAAGGGAAGAGTTTTTATTTTAGGCTAGAAACAGTAGGGTACTAGTAGTGGCTACTTGAGCTTTTTGAGCCAAGGAGTAACATTGTCAGGCCTGTTTTTAGGAATTTCATTTTAGCAGTTGTATGGAGATTGGAGTAGAGAAGAATAACTTTTATTTGGGTTAACATGAAACAGATTAGCTCTGCCCTAACTTTTAAGTCCCACAGATGAATGGATAAACAGAGTTTAGAGAATTTCAGGAGAATTCTTTTAAAAGTTTACTTTTCTAGTTGTGTGCCCTAGTGGAAATAGACCTGGACTAGGAGTTAGACTGGTAATCTAATCCAAGCTCTGTAGTTTACCTTTGGCACCTTTGGCCAAGTTGCTTCACCAATTTGGACCTCAGTTTCCAAATGATTTGACTAAGAGATCTCTAGAGTACCTTGTTACCCTAAATATTAAGACCTCAAGTTTCTTCCTAGGACTTAAGTTTTATGATATAAAATTTTCAAATCATCTTCATTATATGTTGTCTTAAGTCTAATCTTCATTCTAAGCATTATATGATGAGAAGGTAAGGCTCATGCTCAAGTTCATAGCCATATCTTTTCTAAAGTAGATTACTGTGTGCCATATGTAAAATTAATCTCTATGCAGCAAGGATAAGGATTGATCACCTGGGGCTAGGTTCAAGTTTGTTCTTTAAGGAAAGCAGCTCAAGACCTGTGCCTCTTATTTAAGGTTTTGGGGACTTTGATACTTGTGAGGTTTGGACCCCTTAATAGTATGAATCAAAGATTATAATCCACAGATTACTTTTCTGGGACTAAAAGCCCCTAGAGCCATTGTAATATCCTTTTGTAGGAGGAGAGGTGGTAGGAGTGGTGCCTTTTCCCTCCAAGCCTGTATGAATTAATGGAGGCAGTATGGACTAGTGGATTGAATACTAGATTTGGAGTCATCTGACAATTATGAGCTGTATATATAAGTCACTTAATCTCACTGAGCCTCAGTTGGAACTCTTATGAAATAAGAGTGATATGCTTGTAACTTTAGAGTTTTGTTGTGAGATTCAAAGATCATATACACGAAAGGGCTTTGTAAACCTTAAAGTGCTTCATACATATTGTAGTAGACGTTTAATATATATTTGTTTATTGATTCAAAGGAACTGGAAACAAGTAAGACGTCTTTTATATGTTATTTTCCCTTCCTCTTCTTTCACCCCTTACCTTCTTATTAATTGTTGCACCAGTATGGACAACTCACCTTTTGCTTTTTGGAATCTTTCATGGGCTGCCAGTGATCTGCCTACTGTTCTTCAACTGTGGTTGGTGAAATTCCAGTATTAGTCTCACAAAGTGTAGCACTCCTCTCACTTTTTTTTTTCCCCTGACAGGGTACTTTAGTCAACTGGGACATCTTTTACAAGTCAATGGGTTTCTGACTCAATGTAGTAAGAAACAGAAGTGTATATCCTGCAGTTGACACCAAAGTAATAACTATATTCTTAAATTCAGAGATATGATTTTTAGAGGGGGACAAAGGCTTTAAATAGTATAGAATTCAGGATAAGCAGGGACAGATAAGAACAAGAATTCATTTTTAAAATTTTACATTGAGAACAGACTTTGATGAAGGTGGTAGGTTTCCATGATGTCTGGCCTTAAGGATATTCCAGTCTATCCTTTATAATACTTTCTGTGTACTTTTCTTAGTACATGCCTCTGACTACATCAGTTCTTTCTGCTCAAACACTTGAGTGATTTTCTGTAGCTTACCAAATAAAATATATCACATTCTTTATTCAAAGCTCTCCTTGATTTGGATCTTAGCCTGCCTTTCTAGCCTTATCTCAACCAAACTGGACTACTTACTTTTCCCCATTCTGTTTCTCCCCTTTCCTGTCTCCATCTCAATCTACATCTGTCAAATATTCTCCCTTCCTTAAAGGTTTAAAGGCAGCTTCCTTCAAGCTTTCCTCAAAGTCCCATTTCCCACACTGCAACGAAAGTAATCTCTTCCTTTCATATCTCTTTACCTGGACTTTCCCTTTGACATATCATTTTCAGGTATTTATGTATGTGTCACCTCATTGGATTGTAAGTTCTTTGAGAGTGGAGTCTGTTTCTCATTTATATTTGTATTCCTGTTTATTAGTCTTATCTTACATGTTAAATATTTTGCCATATATTTGTTGAGTGTGACAATTAGTCATTTTAAGAGACTTGAGATTTTTTTCCAGTAATTTTATTGAAGCTTTTTTTTTTTTGGCAGGATTTTTGCCTCCTATAACTCCACCAGAAAAGTTTTTTCTTTCCCAGCTAATGTTGGCCCCACCAAGAGAACTCTTCAAAAAGACACCTCGACAGATTGCCTTAATGGATGTAGGAAACATGGCCCAGTCGGTGGACATCAGTGGGCTTCAGCTAGCATTGGCTGGTAAGAAAAGAACCAGCACATAATCACTTCTTTATTGAATCTTGAAAAAATGAATTTATCTATATATTGTCCTTAAGACAAAGGTCAAAGTAATTGTGTTCTGGGAGCACAAATCCCTTCTGTGGAAAAGAAATTTTTTAATTTTGAGTCTTTAAATCTTTCCATTTTAACAGTATATCCTATGAACCCATTTTACATTTTGACTACATTATTTGTTTTCTTAATTGCCTTAGAGGAATACTGGATGTAATTTAAAGTCTTTCTTTGCTAATAGGAACTTTCTTCATCTCTAAGGTAATAACTTCTTGCTGTCATAATTTGTTATTTTGCATTAGGTGTCTACACTTAAATCTCTCCTTTTTTCCTAATGGAATTCTTTTCTCTTTGAAACAGAACATTTTACATCTTTAATGGAGTCAATAATAATTTAATTATCATGGAAATAATATTTCTTGAGGCAACATACCAAGATTTGGAAAGAAAATGCCTTAAAAATCTTGGAAAAATTGTAAGCAGAATTTGTGTTATGAAAATCCAGTCACTAGCCAGTTACGTGAAAATACCACAAATGTCAGTTACTTCAACTCATCAAGTATTTATTAAGTACCTCCCCTTTCCAAGGCACCGTATGAGGTGTTTACAGTATGGCAACAGAATTAAGAGAAGTCCCTGCCTTGAAAGGTATATATTATTACAGCATTGCCACCACTAAGTAAGCATAAGATCATTTGAGAATAGAAGAATAAGAAAAGGCATCATCTAGAAAGTCACCTGAGTTGAGCTTTGAAAGAAAGTAAAAGATCTAAAATAAAAGGAAGTCTATCCCAGGCACAGGGTATAGGAGAGGGAATGCCAAGTTCAGGTTGGTCAGTTTACTTCATTCACACTCTACATTTTAGCCTGTTTGACATGTCAGAAAAGTACGGCAGTGGGCCGACAGAAGATATGTAAATGCCAAGCTAAGAAGCTTGTGTTTCTCATAGAGTGAGTCAGGCCACTGAAAAACTTGAGCAGGAAATGACATGGTCATAAGTGATTTAGGGAAGATGATTTGGGCAGGGGAGTCATTTTGTAGATTTCTCTACCATGTTACCATCTATCAAAAATTGTGATTGCTTTCTTCTAGATCTTTTTGCAAATACTTATGAGCAGTGCAATACAGTGTTTGTATTTAACTTTAAACATGGGTGTGTTTGATATGGAAATTTACCTCAAATTAAACGATGAAATTGTGTTGTAAAGATCTGATCCAGGAATTGACCTTTGAACTCTGGTCTTAGTTCTCTGTCTTCTCTAATATGCTGAATTATTCACTAAGTTAAATGGATTACTTTCCTGGGAATATGACTGTAGTTAAATGATAGTGTTTAAAGGGACTTTCCTCTTGAAAGAAAAAATAAGAATCATAGTATGATATGTTCACAGAGAAAATAATTGAATTATTAATGACTCAGTAGAGGGATATATTTATCTTCTCACCTATCTTTTTCCCGTACAGAAAGAAATTAAGTGGAATAACATAAACTTATCACAGAAGGAAGATTGATCAAAGATAGAGTTTCTTAGAAATTTTTTTAATAATTGCTATTACTTTATTGAATCTTATCAGATCTTCCTCCCCTACTTCCTGTCTTTCTTTTAATGTAGAGGTGTTTGTGATTGTTCAGGTTGTTTAAGGTGCTGATAAATATTTGAGCGATAGCCTCGCTATTTGACAGACAGGAAGGACTATCCTGGTAGGTGAGTTACGATTAAGGCGGGGGATCTGGTCATGGGGAATAGGCTTAAGAAAAGAGATATCATGCTCAGGGGAGAACTGATTTTGCCCCCTCCCCTTCCCCAGTATCACAGATTACCCTCTTGGGTCTGTAGCAGCAAAACAAGACAAAGTATTGCTTTTTTCCTTCTGTTATCTTCTGTTTATCTGAAATATTTAGCAATTTCCTCCTCCATCCTAAGATGTCCTAGATTTCATCTTTTTCAGCTTCTAATTTGCCACTATTTTGAGAGTTGACTGCCTCTGTTACCGATTTATCTTCCGTCATTAGTGAACAAGATGTTCATGTGAGCAGATTTCCCACCAAGTAATTGAAGTTTTTTAGCATCTAAACTTTTACAGTATTTTGAAATAATTTTTTATGCAAACCTTTTTGGCGTGTTAATATGTTTCTTGACTTAAACTGAATTAATTCAACGTTAATGACAGTGATCATCTTGATCATCCACTTTTTGAATTGTGATGGTCCTCAGCCCTGTTAAGCATGTGTCAGTGTCAGCCACTGATAGAGGCAAGTATTTGATAGTACCAGCAAATGACAAAAATCAGCCTAAGAATCTGAAGTGATTTAGCACAGGAGCTGTCTCTGTCACCAACCTTCATATGTGCTACAGAGCTGGGAAACCAGATAAGCAAGCTTCTTAGACAGTAATGTGTAAATTAAGTGCAAATATATTATAAGTGAGGTCCTGAAATGCTTTTGGTTCTTTTTTTTTCCTTCTGGGATCTTTCTGCATAAAGACTCTTAGCTAAATAATCTCTCCAAAAGTGAAGTATTACTGGGTAGGCAGTTCCTGCTTTTATATGTAACATTCTTCTGGATACCTTTATTTAGATCAGAGCACAAATTGTTGATTGCTTATAGTACAGGCCCAATACCAGCTATCAGTTGGACATGTACTTTGATTTGTTTACCAGTGAGTGTGCCAAGTCATCCACATTCTTTCATCCATTCCTCCATAACCACAGGCATGTATGTGAGACCTGGCAAAGCATTTCCACAATTGACTTTTGAAAAATTAATCTAACAACTAGCTTTTTGTATGATTTTTCAAATCCCTTCTGTGACCCATATTGGCTTTTCTTTATTTGTCCAAAATTTTGTCTGTTTGGAGAATTGATCTGATAACTTTCTATTCTCCTTGAAAAAAAGGAGTATCTGTGACCAAGAGAAGTCTTTGTTTTTAACCAGACTATATATGACAAATTATTGCTCTTTAGATACAGCAAGACATAAGTGGTGTTAATACCATTCTCTAGTGTTGCATCAAACTTTTAGTGCCTATAAGTGAGGAAAAGAATCTGTGGTATCAGTTTCCACAGCACTTGTTTACTGAATGACTTTTTTGGTTAACTGGATGGAGTACTTTATGTTTAAAATGGTGTTTTAAGTGAAATTACCTGCTTAATGATCTAAAATTGTTCCAAATCTTTAAGGAATTGTTTGTTGCAAATGATTTAAACTTTTATATTGCCCATTATACATACTATCTGATTAGGTGACCTTATTATATAGGAATAATAGATTTCTCGGATATTACCTGACAGCTAGCTGGCATAGTGAATATAGCACCAGGCTTAGAGTCAAGAAGACATAAGTTCATATGTACCCTCAGGCATTTAATAGCTTTGTGACCCAGGGCAAGTCACTTAACCCTGTTTGCTTCAGTTTCCTCTATCTCTGAAATGAGCTGGAGAAGGAAATGGCAAACCACTCCAATATCTTTGCCAAGAAAACCCCAAATGGGGTCATGAAGAGTTGGACACAACTGAAATGACTGAACAGAAACAGGACATATTACCCATAAACTATTACAGTATTACAGTAAAACAGTTTTGATAATATTTAAATAAATTGGTACTTCTGATATTTTTGTTTATTTTCTTTGGTGTAATAAACTTTAGGAATCAAAGTATTTCAATAAACTCTTTCATCCTATAATTCTTTAGACTTTGATTTTGGATGCTAGATTAGTGTTGTCTAAAGGCATACCTTTAATCCCTATAAGAGAATGATTCTGAACAGTTTGAGGCTGAGTGAGTTAGTGTATTTACGCAGCTGCATATTGGCATAATGCACAAACAGGTCATGAAAAGGGAAACGTATTTTTTTAGTATTGCTTTAATAGAATCTAATGAAAGAACATAGTAGATCACAACGTGTGAATTATCTCAGGGCACTTAAACTTCCTAAATGTATCTTGTGATTATTGTTTAATAGACTAGAAATCAAATCCGAAACAGCTCTAGTATCTTATGATTTTTAGCTTCCAGGAAAGGTTTACAGTACAGCTAGCACAGCAATGAAAATGTGAATTAAAGATTGAGAAATTTGGCAAGGTGCTGTAACTGAGCTTGTAGTCTTCCTTTACCTAGACTGAAGATTTCCCAATCCATTCATTTTCACAAGTGCAAAAAAGTGCAGCTGTCTGCTTTGGAACTAGCTACACAAAACATCTCTCTGGAGGTCTAAAATTCAGATGTATTGCAGTGGGATTGATTAGCTTCAAGCAACATTTTCCAGGCTGGTAGGCAAAAAATTTGACGTACCAATTACTTTTATTTATGAATCGTGCAATGCATGTGTTCTTAATTTTTTTTCATAAAAACTGGAGAAAATACAAAGTTGTGGTACTCCCAATAGGAACAACCTTTTCCCTCATGACACTGACCATATTAATTTTATGGGTTGGGTTTTGTCAGAAATTACTGTCAAATACATGTTATCTACTTAGTCGATGATTTGCTAACTTGTGTTTTCTTTCCTCTTATTGTGCCTGTAAGAATTATTTTAGGACAGCATTGCCCCTGTTTGCCAGTACCCTAGGAGGAACATCATCTCCTTGGAAGGCTATAAATGTTTCATTGCTGCCTGCTCAAGCTTAGACTGTGTTCAGACTACACTATGAATAATAAATTGTTAAATTTATATTATTTAAAAGGCCTCATTTTTTTTTCCAGAACGGCAGTCTGAGTTACCAACACAAAGCAAGGCTAGCTTCCCTAGCATTCTCAGCGATCCAGATCCAGATTCTTCAAATTCTGGTTTTGATAGTTCTGTTGCCTCACAGATCACAGAAGCTTTAGTCAGTGGACCAAAGCCACCTATTGAAAGTATGTATATAAATTAAATTATATTCATTTTCTTGGGTTTTGCAGTGCTGTTACATAAATTTCAGTGTTTCTCAAGACATGTTGTTTTAATGGCAATAATATGAGAATATAATGACCCTGCTGTTATAGGGATGTTGTGAAAATTAGATATGATTAAATATGAGTGTTTTATAAACCCAAATGTGTAGTTATTATTATAAAATATTAGCCTACAGGGAAGATGACCTTCCCCTCAAAAAGGACTTTCCATATCTGTAATCATTATGCAAGAAGTATGTAAACTTTTAATAAGTAGTTTCATCTTGAATTTTAACCAAGACTGAAATATGATATTTCTTAAATGCTTAGATATAATGTCTGGATTTATCTGATGCCACTGCTGTCTTAATTCATTGACAAAACAATAATCTTATAGTTAATCTTTATAGTACTACCATGAGTTTCAAGTAAGCATTATGGTTCTCCTTACACTTTTTGATAAATTCTATTTTGTTCTTTTTTTTTTTTATGATTTCTTTATTCACATTCTATTTATAAGTGTGTTGGAGACATGTTAGATTGCCAAAAATCACAATGGAGTTCAAGTAATCACATTTCTGTAAGAGCTAGGAAAGATAATGTTAACACATCACAGTCTTCTTTTTGAGTTGGTTTAGCAGGGCTTATTTGCCATGTGGTTACCTATTTTCACCACTAGACAGCAATAGCTGACAAATTTAAGATGATTTCTGGTGTTTTGGCAGGGGTAGAGGATGATTCTGTTTTTTTTGTTTTTTTGTTTGTTTTTTTTTTGTTTAAGAAAGCTTTCTTCCATTTAGGTAAATACAGTATGTAGTTAAGCCCAAACTGGTGACTAGTGATTGAAATTAAGTAGTAATAAATAGTTTTATGTCACAATGGTATTTTAAGATAATGATATTCATTCATTTATGCATGAAACTTAATATGGATGAGCTTTCAATTCCTTACAAAATTCTGGAACATATCAGAATTTGTGAACTTAGCTTTCTAAGAACCAGCATAGATTCTTCAGGAATAGTTTGTTTCAGACTAGTCTCATTTTAATTTTGAGAGGGTTTTTAGATATGTGTGATCAATAAATCAAAAATTCATTGTAGCAAAACATTGGACAATACTTTGGTTATTCTTGTTGGCTAAACAGATATGAGTTAGATGATGACATTAAGTGGATTCAGAACTGGCTGAGAGACAGGACCCAAAAAATAGTGACTGTTGATAACTACCTGAAGGAAGGCGATATCCGGTGTGTCAGCCGCAAGTCACAGAGGTTTTGTGACCACTGTTAACTCTAAAAATAGCAGAGAGGTTATCACGACTATAGTTAACTCTGAAAAATAAAATAAAACCAAAGAGATAACAGTCATCATAAGCAAAACGTTTATTTTATTCTGTTGGAGGAGAGAAACTAGACACATGTGCTGGGGTCCCCTCTAGTAGATCCACTTTAGTGTGGGCAAATCTTAGTACATATACTAGTGGCTAAGTAGTGAGCTGTAGCCCTGACAATGAAGGATAACAGCAACAATGAGACAGGTTTGATTCATAGCAGGACTTCATGACATGAACATGGGTACTGCTGGTGTGAAACAATACTGGGATTTTGCTGTGAGTGACTTCATCCAGAGGGTGAGTGCAAAGGATTGTTGTTATGCCAAGCCCAGGGCACAACTTGCTGGCTAGGCCTTATCTCTGGAAAACAGAGTGTCTCCGAATAGTAAAAAGAGGGGTGGTCTTGGCATGGAGATTCTGACAAGTAGGATGCCCCAAGGATCCTTGGCCCTGTGCTATCCAGCATTTTTATCATTTATTTGATTGAATGCATTGATGGCATATTTACTAGATTTATATTTTATACACTATCATCCTATATCTCTGTTTCTTTTTGTGGGTAAGCTTCTTAAGAGAGTCATCTATAATTTCCTGCCTCTGCTTCCTTTCCTCTCACTCCCTTCTTAACTCCCCCTAGTCTGGCTTCTGATCTCCTCCAACTGAAACTGCTCTCTCCAAAGTTGCCAGTGATATCTTTCCCCCCCCCTTTAAAAAATTTATGTCTTGTTTTTTACGGTACTTGGTTCTCTCTCCTATCTCTCCAGTATCTTCCTCTCCCAGAATACAATCCCATATAACAAAAAATAAATTATTATCACATCTCTTTGTCCAGCCCTAACCTGCTAGATCTTTTAACACATCTAAAATAGAATTCGTTATCTCTTTCCACAAATCGTCTTCCTAACTTCCCTTTTACTTTTGAGAGTACTGTCATCTTCCTTGGTTACCCAGGCTGACAACCTAGGTGTCATTCTTCATTCCTCCCTCTCTTTAACCACCAACCCCATAGCCATTCTGTGCCAAGTCCTGTCAACTTTACTTTAGTAACATGTCTCATATATACCCTGTTCCTCCCTTTGATGCAGCTACCATCTTAACTCAGGCCCTCATGACTTCACACCTAGACTTTTGCCTTGTGGTTGGTCTTCCTGCCTCAAGTCATTCATTCCCCATTCCATTCAGTTCTCCAATCAGGTGTCAAAAATTGATCTTCATTTAGCTCAGGTCTTAACATATCATCTGCCTATTCATTATCTATCCCTCAGAAATGACATTCCAACTCCCATATCCAGATATTTTTACTAGCTGTCCTTCATTTCCGGAACTCTACCTCCTGACTGTCCTGGCTTTCTTCAGTTCTTAGCTAAAGTCTCACCTTTGCAAGAACCCTTTTCTAGTCCTCCTTAACTTAAGTTAATAGCTTCCCTCTCAGAGTATCTCCAGTTTATCCTGTATATATCCTATCTGTATGTAGTTGTTTGCATGTTGTCTCCTGCGATAGACTGTGAACTTCTCACAAGCAAGGATTACTTTTTACCTTTCTTTGTTTCCCCAGCTTTTAGTGTAGTACCTGGAATGTATTTGGTATATAATAAATGCTTATTGCTTTGACAGCCTTTACACAAAGCCAAAAGGAACAGCTAACACATTAGACAGCAAAGTTGGGGTCTAGAAAGACTGACAGTCTCAAACAATAGCTTGAATATGGTAAGATGAAACTTAACGTGAATTAAAATAAATTCTTAGACTTAGACTTATTACAATTAAAGAAAATTTAACCATACAAGTATAGATAGGTAATAGGAGTTCATGTGAAAAAGCTTTGGGAGTTTTAGTGAAATGCCAGTGTTGACATAGAAGTCAAAAAGTAGCTATTGTTCTCTTAGGCTACAATAATAGAGAGATATTTATAATGTAAAAAGTAATCATTTCACCCTATGCCACTGTTGTATTCCTTAGTTCAGAGTCCATCCTCATATTATTCCCCTTAATAAAAGGATTTGTTCTGTAAAACTTAGACTCAGTCAAAAGGCTGCACTTGAGGACCTAGAGGGCCACAAGTGGCCTTGAGGTCACAGTTTCCTCACCTCTGATGTAAGTAAAGAATGACCATAATACAAATTATAGCCTGTAATATATCTAGAGAATTATGAGAGGTTAAGGTTAGGACAGTAGAGATGAAAAAGCTTCATGGAGGTCATGGCACTAGGTTGGACCTTGATCAAAGGCAGAGATTTCAGTACGTTGAGACATGAGGGGCAGCTCATTCTGAGCATGGCATGGAAGTGAGAGAAGTCAGAAAATAATGAATAAGAATGTATGAAGGGGAAGAGTATGTTGGAAAGTTTGGTTTTGAAGAAGATTATGACATGTCAAGCTGTAAAGTATTTATTCCATAGGCATTAGGGGTCTTTGAACAGGGCAGTGACATGATTAAATTCTGTAGTTGGAATAAACCTGAAGCATGGATATCACTAAGGAGGCCAGTATGGTACTCTAAAAAAAGTAAAGAGAGCCAATTGGTTGTAGTAGGATGGGGCAGATGCAAGAAACATTTCATAGGTGGAATTGGCAACTGATGGGGCATATATTGGAAAGGAGAAGAACTAAAAGATGACTGAAGCTTTGAGTCTGCCTAACTGGGAGAATGTAAATGCTATTTTTTTTTTAATGAACATTAAGGGGGAAGAGCTTTGGGCAACAGTTTTTAACATGTTGAATTTAAGATGATAGCAGGACATTAAGGTGAAGAGATTTAGTAGCCAGTTGGAAAATATGATCTAAAAAGAAGCCAAGTCTGAAGATTTGGGGAAGCATCTCTTTAGAGGTGATAATTAAAGTAGATAAAGAGAGCAGAAGGCAAAATCTTGAGGAATGCCTGAATTTAGAAAACATTAACCAGTGAAAGAACTATCAGAGGTAGGAGAGTAATGTCATGGAATCCAAGGGAAATGACTATCACAAGAAAGGGAAGTGTTTACCATTGTCAAATAGATAAAAGGAGAATGAGGACTGAAAAAATCCATTGATGGTCTTTTTCAGTAAAACAAAGCTTAAAAATGCAGTAAAGTCCCATGTTAATTTGAAAAGATATTAAGATATTTAGGATTTTCAGATATTGTACTGTCCTAACAACTTGAAAATTGCAGATTTGGGAATACTGTTACAGAATTAGCATAGTGCCTTGGAAAATAACTATTGCTATGCCAGTATTATGGTGTCGCAATATTTAACTATAATATAAGAGTCTTAACATAATTCGATTTATTTTTCCAACATATTTTGTTGTTTTTAGTAATTGAGTGTGTTTGTTTTGTGTTTTGTGGTTCTTTTTTAAACATTCTCTTAAAACTTGGAAAGAGCCATTAGTTCATAAATGGTGGCTTTAATAAAACTTTAGTTAAAAAAAATACCTGATTCCATGACTTGCAAGTGAACTGGAGGGAGGGAACTTGCAAGCAAAGGAGGACTGTGCAAGGTCACCAGCTTCACTTTCTCCTCCAGAGCTTTCTGGGTCCATGGCAAGATATAGATCAGGATGACTGGAGATGGCCCCCATGTAGCTGATCAGTATTAACCTGGAGGAAGATCTCTGATATGCCATAGATCTCTCCTTTCAGCCCTGCCCCATTCAGTAATTTTACTAATTGAATTAAGATATATAAGGCATATTTAATGTTATATGTACAAGGAGTATATTGACCTGGAATAGATTCCAGTATATTATATAATCGAATTAGGGTTCAAAAAGATCTCTGTGGGGCAGCTAAGTGGCGCAGTGGATAGAGCACCAGGCCTGTAGTCCGGAGAACTTGAGTTCAAATCCGGCTTCAGACCAAACACTTGACACTTACTAGCTGTTTGATCCTGGTCAAGTCACTTAACCCCAACTGCCTAACCAAAAAATAATAATAATGATAATAAGATCTCTGCAGATAACAATGATTCTCAGACTAGTAGAAATTTATTAGAGGAAAATGTGAATTCCTGTTTCTACCTCTGATTATAAAGTTTCTGATAAATTTATCAGTGGAATATATTATACAGTATTACTGTGTTAAGTAAGTTGCATGTATAAATGTAATGGTAGAATAAACACACTTTTTTTAGGAGCCCAACTTATATTTTATTCAGAAGTGAAAAAAAAAGTCTTCATATTACAGGTCACTTTCGACCAGAATTTATCCGCCCACCACCTCCACTCCATATTTGTGAAGATGAACTTGCTTGGTTAAACCCAACAGAGCCTGATCATGCAATTCAGTGGGACAAATCCATGTGTGTTAAAAATAGCACTGGTGTTGAGATCAAACGTATAATGGCTAAAGCTTTTAAAAGTCCCTTGTCTTCTCCACAACAAACACAGGTAGGTGTTCACTTGCAACCATTTGACATCATTTTTGTTTTCTGTATTTGCTGATCTGTCTTGGATTTTAGGTTTTAAACGTTTTAGATAAAGTGTTGGATAAAAAACCAAGTAAACTTATATTAGTAGTAACTAAGCAAAGGGTACATGAAAGGCATTTAAATTCACCATAGTTCAAGCCCTTACTGTTAAAGAGAAAGTAGACATGATTACTAGCTATTTTTTTCTTCTTAAAATGTTCTTTTCAAACTCATGCCACCCTAGTCAGTAAAATGATGAGATTGTCAGCTTTTGTAGTGTTATATCAGATTTTCACAGGCCAGCCCCCATATTGTGAATGGGAGCAGTTGTGTGAGCCATCCCTAAATCATTTATTTGACCTGGGAATGATTTTTTGTTTTAATGTGACAGCCAAGCATTGGTTTCTTTTTTTTTTCTTCTCTGGGCTTCCTTTCCCCACTCTATGAATTCAGTGAATGGCCATCACTACTCAAGCAAAACACCAACCTAGTATAGCATTCATTTTTGTGGTTTATACTTTTCTTGGAGGATGGAATAATTGACTTGTTCACTGTAGTTTTATTTTAGCCCCAAAGTCCAATTTATGTTAGCAAAACTCAAGCAAAGTAGGTGATGATATTGTGAAATTTTAAGCACAAATTTCCTCAGGAGATGAGATAATTCGGATTTGAGTATATTGAAAATTCAAATACATAGTCTAATGCAGGCCTGTCCAGCCTGCAGCCAGCAGGATTTTGGGTGGCCCACAAAAAACGTAGCAGCCCACTGCCTGCATATTGCACACGCCTGTTCTAATGGTTTAGCTGAGGCAAATGGAGTAGTGGCATAAAAGTCAATGAGCTAGCCTCACAACAGGAGAACTGGGTTCAAGTGTTTTTTCTGACATACTATCCTCATAAACCTTGGCAAGTCATGTAACTTCTCAGAGTCCCAAGGCAGTCCTCAAAGACTAGAAGGTGAATAATTTATCTACGTTGTTAGTTTCCTCGCTGGGAAGTGTCTACAAAATAATATTACAGGTCTTGGCCAAAAAAAAAAAGATTGATTATGAATTTTATGGGAAATAGAACAGAAGTCTGGTTCATTGGGAATGTGTTTCATAAAGATGTGCTTTAGATTTATGTCTTATGCATGTAAAATGATAATTTGAAGGTTATGAGTAAAGTATGACTTATTTTTGTTTTCTATTTGGCTCTGTTGTAGCTCCTTGGAGAGTTAGAAAAAGATCCCAAGCTCGTTTATCACATTGGCCTCTCTCCTGCAAAACTGCCTGACCTCGTGGAAAATAATCCTCTAGTTGCTATAGAAATGTTATTGAAATTAATGCAGTCAAGCCAGATAACAGAGTATTTTTCAGTTCTGGTCAACATGGATATGTCTTTACATTCAATGGAAGTTGTAAATCGGTAAGTGTTTCTCCTTTACTAAATTGGGGCATGAATTTTCTCTGTGTATGGGTAACTCTTTTTTTTCTTGTAGATGCTTTCTTAATGTCTAGAAGGGGAATATCAGTACAATTATGAAGCGATTAGTTTTATTTCATAGAAGAATTAAAAATAACAATGCCTTGGTTATTTTTTGTACCTTCTTAGAGGTAGTTCTGATTAGTGATGAAGTACTAGGCTTAGAGCCTGAAAAACTTAGGTTTAAATCCTACTGAGAGTAGCTGTAACTGGGCAGATCACTTCTTTGTACTTCATTCAGTCTTCTCTACTTTTTTTCTTTTTACTAAGGATATGATCTGCATTTCCTCCTCACTACAGCTCCTTCAGGTGTACCTTGATTATGAATGCTAGCAACTGAAAGTGTTAACTTAATACTTCACTATTTATTGGTTTTGTTTTTTTCTGTATTCCTAGAGCACTTAGTAAAATAGTAAAAATATTATGGTAAATAGTAAGACATTTAATAAGTGCTTATTTACCTACCAACTTGTTGAAATTCAAACACATCCTTCATCAGCAAGCCCTAATTGACCCAAAAGACTTTATTTTAGACAACTGACACAATTTCACAGAACAGAAGGAAGGCCAAAAGAAAGCACAGATAAGCTGTACAGTGTTGAAAGTTACATGTTGAATTTATTATAGAATTAAAAGAAAAATGCTATATGCAGTAGATTCACAGGTTTTGTGTGAAATAATCAGTTCTAAAAAGGGTTTATTTATTAATAGTTGACACCAAGTTAAGTAGGATTCTAGCTGAATAATATGCGAATAGGCCTTCATTACGTATATACAGTAAGCTTGTATTCAATATGGTCAAGGAATGAAATATTCTGGTTAATGAAAATTCGAAATAGCCTGGGTTCCATATTTCAAAAGAAACTATAGTAAAGACAATACCCTTCATACTAAAACACTTTTGAATATAATTTAATCTTTCTGAGACTGTCCAAGAGAAAACTTAACATATGTTAAGCCTCTTACGCTGAATTCCTTCAATAGGAAGCTCTCAGGGGTACTCATTTTCATATAGTACCCACTTACCTGTTTACTCGAAAACATTAACTAGATCAACCAAGGACATATGGTGGAGTTAAGGGATTTCTCAAAAGAGGTTTGTTATGTATTCCTCATTGGAATATTTACATACCTGGATTCCTCTGGAGATGACACCGCAGCAGAAATAAAATGTGTTAATACTGATAATCTACATATAATTTCTTTTTGGCTTTGAAGTGTATTATGGGTTTTAATATAGTACCTCCACTTTCTTACTATTTAAGCTGTTACAAATCTGGACAAGGTTCCTCACTTTTAGTAGCAGCATCCCTAAAACTCCACCCAAAACATTGGTAGCAATTCAAAGGCTGGCTATATTTTTGTAATCCGAATCTTATTGATGGTTTAAAATCTAGAGTTTTTTTCTTTTCACATTGTTTAGAGAATAATTTTCCCTAAAACACTTATTTGCCCTTTCTATCCCTAAATATGAGCATGTGTTAAGACACAAATCAAGACAAAACAAGCCAATGAACTCTTAAGAGCCAAATTAAGTCCCACTTCATTCAAGCCTCTTCTAACCTACTCAGCTTTGGAACATCCCTCTTTTTTAAACTCTTAAAGTGCTTTACTGAATTGTAACTTTTTTAGTCTGTATCTTCTTGTCAACCCATTGTCTTGGACTGGATGGTATCTGAGGCGCCTATAACTATATCCTAGGTATTATAGTAACTCAGTAAATCAGTCGGCCATTTGCTTTTTATTAAATGTTGATAATGATCATGAGCCTTCAGTAGTTTTCAACTGTTTATCATATACAGTTCATTTCATTAAGCTTTTCTAAATGCCTGTGAGGTACAAGGCAGTGTGCTAGGTACTGGGGTTGCAAAGACAAAATGAATCACAGTTCCTGCCTGTTATATTCTGCTAGTGATAATGAGCACATAACATTTACTGGATAATATAAGATAATTTCAATAGGGCAAGAGCACAAATAATTAGTGAGTATCAGGGAAGGCTTCCCATAGGAAGGTGGTACCTGAGTTGTGCCTCAAAAGAAGCTAAGAATTTTACAAGACATGGAGATAAGGAAATTTGTTCCAGATATGTGAGATAGCTTGTGCAAAGTCATCCAAGTAGAAGACAGAACATCAAGTTCAGACAATGACAAGTAGACCATTTTGGAGCATAATATACGTACTCTTCTCAGCTTAGGTATCAGCACAATATTTGTATCATAGAAAGAATTTGGTAAGACTCCTTCGCCCATTTTCCCAAATAGTCTATGTGGTATTGGAATTAATTGTTCTTTAAATGTTTGATAAAATTTGTAAATCTATCTGGCCCTGGACATTTTTTTTCCTAGGGAGTTCATTAATGGCTTGTTAAATTTCTTTTTCTGCGATGGGATTATTTAAGTATTTTACTTCCTCTTCTGTTAATCTGGGCAATTTATATTTTTGTAAATATTCATCCATTTCACTAAGATTATCAAATTTATTGCTATACAGTTGGGCAAAATAGTTCCTAATTATTATTTTAATTTCCACATCATTGGTAATGAATTCACTGTTTTCATTTTTGATACTGGTAATTTGGTTTTCTTTCTTTTTTGTAATTAAATTAACTAAAGGTTTATCTATTTTATTTTCTGTTTTCATAAAAACAGCTCTTAGATTTATTTATTAGGTCAATAGTTTTCTTAATTTCAATTTTATTGATCTCTCCTTTGGTTTTCAATATTTCTAATTTGTTGGGTTTTTTTAGTTGCATGTCCAATTCATTGGTCTCCTCTTTCTCTATTTTATTCATGTAAGATTTAGAGATACAAAATTTCCCTTAAGAACTGTTTTCACTGCATCCCGTAGGTTTTGGTATGTTGTCTCATTATTGTCATTCTCTTGAATAAAGTTATTGTTTCTGTGATTTGTTGTTTGACCCACTTATTCTTTAGGAGTAGATTATTTAGTTTCCAATTAATTTTTAGTTTATCCTTCCATGGCCCTTTATTACATATAATATTTATTGCATCATGATCTGAAAAGGATGCATTTTTTATATTTCTGCCTTTCTGCATTGGTTTGTGAGGTTTTTATGCCTTAGTACATATGTGGTCAGTTTTTGTGTAAGTGCAATGTGCCGCTGAGAAAAAAGTATATTCCTTTCTGTCCCCATTCAGTTTTCTCCAGAGGTCTATCCTTTCTTACTTTTCTAAAATTCTATTCACCTCCTTAACTTCTTTCTTGTTTATTTTGTGATTAGATTTATCTAGTTCAGGGAAGAGGAGGTTGAGGTCCCCCACTACTATAGTTTTGCTGTTTCTTCCTGTAACTCCCTGAACTTCTCTAAGAATTTGGATGCTATACCACTTGTTGCATATATGTTTAGTAATGATATTACTTCATTGTCTATGGTGTCTTCTAGCAGGATGTAGTGTCCTTCCTTATCTCTTCTAACGAGATCTATTTTTGCTTTTGTCTGAGATCAATTGCTGCCTGCTTTTTTTTTTTTTTGGCCAAGCAGTTAGGGTTAAGTGACTTGCCCAGAGTCACGCAGCAGTAAGTGTTATGTGTCTGAGGCCAGTTTTGAACTCGGGTCCTCCTGACTCATGGGCCAGTGCTCTATCCACGGTGCCACCTAGCTGCCCCCTGCCTCTGCTTTTTTTACTTCAGCTGAAGCGTAATATATTCTACTCCAGCCTTTAACTTTACCCTGTATGTTACCCTCTGTTTCAAATGTGTTTCTTGTAAACAACATATTGTAGGATTATGGTTTTTATTCCATTCTGCTATCTGTTTCCATTTTATGGGAGAGTTCATCTTATTCACATTCACAGTTATGATTACTATCTGTGTCATTCTCTTCCCCATTTATGCTTTTCTTTCTCCTTTTCTCCCTTTCCTTCCAATTAGAGTTTTGCTTTTGACTGTCACCTCCCTCAGTCTGCCCTCCCTTCTATCAGCCCCTGTCCTTTTTCTTTCTACTTTCCCTGCCTACTGCCTCTAGGGCAAGTTAAATTTCTATACCTGAGTATGTTATTCCCTTCTTGAGCCAAATCCAATGAAAGTAAAGTTCAAACAATGCTCATCTCCCTCCCTTCTTTCCCTCTACTGTAATATGTTTTTGTTCCTCTTCATGTGATGTAATTTACCCTTTTCTGCTTCCTCCTTTCCTCTTCTCCCATTGCAATTCCTTTTCATCTCTTCATTTTTTTTATCATCACATCAAAGTCCACCTAAACCCACCCCCTATATCTATGTATATCCCTTCTAAATGTCATAATAAAGATATAGTTCTCAAGAGTTTTAAGTATCGTCTTCCCATGTGGGGGTGTAAACAGTTTACCCTTATTGAATAACATGTCTTTTTCGCTGTTTACCTTTTTATTCTTCTCTTGAGTCTTGTATTTGAAGATCAGATTTTCCATTGAGCTCTGGTCTTTTCATTAGGAAAGTCTGGAAATCTTGTATTTCATTGAATGTCCAATCTCTTTCCCTGAAAATTATGCTCAGTTTTGCTAGGTAGTTGATCCTTGGTTTGCCTTACAGAATATAATATTCCAAGCCCTCCTGTCTTTTAAACTGTAAGTCCTGCATAATCCTGACTGGTTTGTCAATATTTAAATTGTTTCTTTCTGGCTGCTTGCAGGATTTTCTCCTTGACCTGATAATTCTGGAATTTGGCTACAATATTCCTTGGTGTTTTCATTTTGGGATCTCTTTCAGGAGATGATCGGTGGATTCTTTCGATGACTGTTTTACCCTCTGATTCTTGGGCCTCAGGGCAGTTTTCCTTGATGATCTCTTGAAAGATGCTGTCCAGGCTCTTTTTTTTTTTCATCATGGCTTTCAGATAGACCAATAATTCTTAAGTTATCTTTCCTGGATCTGTTTTCCAGGTCAGTTGTTTTTCCAATGAGGAATTTTACATTTTCTTCTATTTTTTCATTCTTTTGATTTTGG